AGAAATGGAAAAACTTATTCAAGAAAGATCAAGTGTAATATATTATAAAAATAAAGCAAACTGGATGGAATATGGGGAAAAATGCACAAAATTCTTTTTTAATCTTCAACATAGGAATGCTACCAAAAAGAACTTAATGAAACTGGTTACAATTGACGGAGTCACCCATAATTCACCTAATGATATTTTGAAGGAAGAAACAAAGTATTTTAAGCATATGTTTTCTTTTCAGTCGCCTCCATCTCCTCTAACTGAAGCTAATTGTAGAGATTTTTTTCCTATTGATAATGTCAAATTAACAGCCACACAGAAAGACTCATGTGAAGGTGAAATTACAGAGGAGGAACTTCTGGATGCAATTAAAGACTTTAAGTCCGGGAAAACTCCAGGGTTGGATGGCATACCAATCGAGGTATACCAAACCTTTTTTGAAATACTAAGAGGACCGTTATTAGCATGTTTTAAACCACTCCTATGTAAATGGTAGATTATCTGACACTCAAGAAGAAGGTCTGATCTCATTATTACTGAAACAGGATACAAGTGGAAAATATAAAGATCCAGTCCATTTACAAAATTGGAGGCCCCTTACACTTCAGTGTTGTGATGCAAAAATCCTAGCAAAATGTATAGCGCATAGAATTAAAAAGGTATTGTCGGATATTATTCATTCTAATCAGACAGGTTTTTTACATGGAAGATACATTGGAGACAATATAAGGCAAGTATTGGAAACAATAGAACACTATGGAAAATATGGGAAACCAGGCCTGCTATTCATAGCAGACTTCGAAAAGGCATTTGATAAAGTTCGACTGGAATTCATATATAAATGCCTGGAGCATTTCAATTTTGGAGAATCTCTTATAAAATGGGTCAAAATCATGTATAGTAACCCTAGGTGTAAAATAGTAAATAATGGCTATTTCTCAGAAAGTTTCAAACTGTCAAGAGGAGTGAAACAAGGTTGTCCACTATCGGCATATCTATTTATTGTGGCCATCGAGATGTTAGCTATTAAAATCAGATCCAATAATAATATCAGAGGATTAGAAATACAGGGCTTAAAAACAAAGGTGTCATTGTACGCAGATGATTCATGTTTTCTTTTAGATCCACAACTAGAATCCCTCCACAGCCTCATAGAGGATCTAGATACATTTTCTAACCTCTCTGGATTAAAACCAAATTATGACAAATGTACTATATTACGTATTGGATCACTAAAAAATACAATTTTTACATTACCATGTAGTTTACCAATAAAATGGTCTGATGGTGATGTGGATATACTCGGAATACATATCCCAAAGGAAATAAATGATATCACTTCAATAAATTTTAATAGAAAGTTAGCAAAAATAGATAAGATCTTACTACCATGGAAAGGAAAATACCTGTCAATTTGTGGAAAAATCACCCTGATTAACTCTTTAGTATTATCCCAGTTTACCTATTTGCTTATGGTCTTGCCTACGCCTAGCAAACAGTTTTTTAAAATATATGAGAAAAAAATATTCAATTTTATTTGGAACGGCAAGCCAGACAAAATTAAAAGAGCATATTTATATAATGAATATGAATTCGGAGGACAGAAATTATTAAATATTAAAGCATTAGACCTATCACTAAAATCTTCAGTCATCCAAAAGTTATACTTAAATCCGAACTGGTTCTCAAGCAAATTAGTAAGATTGTCTCACCCACTGTTCAAGAAAGGCCTTTTTCCCTTTATTCAGATTACAACCTCTCACTTTCAGTTATTTGAAAAGGAAATAATCTCCCAAATGTCACTATTTCTAAAACAAGCCATAGAAAGTTGGTTACAATTTCAATTTAATCCTCCAGAAACGACAGAACAAATAATGCAACAAATATTGTGGTTAAATTCAAATATACTAATTGACAAAAAACCTATATTTATTGACAGAATGTTTAAAAAAGGTATAATCTTCGTAAATGATATCATCGGTAGGACTGGTGGAGTTATGTCGCACATGCAGCTAATAAAAACATATGGAAATGTCTGCTCTACCCAAAATTACAACCAAATAATTGCAGCCATACCGCAAAAGTGGAAGAGGAAAGTTGAAGGGGGAGAAAGTAAGGAACTTGTCTGTCGGCCTTGCATTAAAGAACATAATTGGTTAAGGAAAACTGTGATAAATAAAAAAGTATATCAGTTTCACTTAAGGACCAAAGGATTGACAGCAGTCCCATATAGATTGCAAAATAGTTGGGAAGAGATCTTTGACGTACCGATCCCATGGCATAGTGTTTATGAACTGACACGCAAAACGACACCGGATTCAAAAATTAGAATCTTTCAATTTAAATTATTATATAAAATTCTTGCTACCAATAGAATGTTATTTATATGGGGGATACAATCTTCCCAGCTCTGCAGATTTTGCTGTGAAGAGATAGAATCATTAGATCATTTGTTTTGGTTCTGTCCATTTGTAGCTTGTTTTTGGACACAGGTCCAGGAATGGCTAAAGGATTGCAATATTTACCTGGAACTAACCTTGCAGATAGCATTACTGGGTGATCTGAAAAGTCATAGTCAATCAATCAATAATATAATAATACTTTTAGCAAAAATGTTTATTTTTAATTCACAATCTGTAGAAGCAATGAGAATAGAAAGGTTCAGAACTTTTGTAAAACATCACAGTATGGTTGAAATATATATGGCAAATAGAAATCCTATATGGATGGTGTTAAGAGATAGATGGGAGGTATTGAATAGAGTTGAAGGATGGGACTAATAACAAATAACAACAAATAATAACAAAGATAGCTAATAATGTAAGCATACTGTGTCCATAATAAGTATATAGGTTGTATGTTGGGAGCTTTTGGGAAGGAGCACAGTTAGAAAGATATGGCATTTAGAGGCAAACCGGATGGACATCATGAAGATGATCGGAGAGGTTGAGAGTAGAAGAAGTTCAGGAGAAAAATAAATAAATAAATAGATGTGTATATGTATATGTATGTATATATATATATATATATATATATATATATATATATATATATATATATATATATGTATATGTGTGTGTGTGTGTATGTATGTATATATATATATATATATAGATATAGAATTATTGTAAAATTAACTCTGTCCATAAGGTGTAGATAGTGAGTATGGACCGGAAGTAGAGGCCTGGGCGTTGTTGTTCACTAATTTACTCCAAGTAGGGAAAGGATGGTGGGGTTGAAAAGTAATAAAGGGGAATATATATATATATATATATATATAAAATAAAAATAAAATATGGGGGATTGGAAGTGATGCAGACAATTACATTGATAGAAGATACAATCTATCTGCAATATTAAGCTGATCCTTCCCCCCAAAAAAAATAAAAAAAATAATAATAATAATTAAAAAAAAAAAACATATCAAGAATATTTCAAGGGCAGCTTTTTTCCATCTTTGTAACATTGCAAAAATCGTAAACTTTTTGTCAAAAAATTATCCAGAAAAGCTCATCCTTGCTTTTGTCACTTCTAGAATAGATTACTGCAATGCTCTACTCTCTGGCTATCCAGATAAAGCACTAAATAAACTTCCATTAGTGCTAAATACAGCTGCTGGAATCTTGACTAGAACCAACACATTTTATCATATTACTCCAGTGCTAGCCTCTCTACACTGGCTTCCTGTTAAGGCTAGGGCTGATTTCAAGGTTTTACTGCTAACTTATAAAGCATTACATGGACTTGCTCCTACCTATCTCTCCGATTTGGTCCTGCTGTACATTCCTACACGTACGCTACGGTTACAAGATGCAGGCCTCCTTATTGTCCCTAGAATTTCTAAGCAAACAGCTGGAGGCAGGGCTTTCTCCTATAGAGCTCTATTTTTATGGAATGGTCTGCCTATCCATGCGACCTTTAAGTCTTTACTGAAGACTCATCTCTTCAGTAGGTCCTATGACTGAGTGTAGTCTGGCCCAGGGGTGCGAAGGTGAATGGCAAGGCACTGGAGTGATGAACAGCCCTTGCTGTCTCTGCCTGGCGGGCTCCCCTCTCTCCACTGGGATTCTCTGCCTCTGACCCTATTATGGGGGCTGAGTCACTGGCTTACTAGTGCTCTCCCATGCCGTCCCTAGCAGGGGTGTGTCATGTCGTGCCAGGCTTTTTCCGCTATACTCGACTTGAGCGGGTTGAGTCACTGACATGATCTTCCTGTCTGGTTTTGCGCTCCCTCAAGCTTGTGCGTTGGGGGAGATCTTCGTGGGCTATACTCAGCCTTGTCTCAGGGAAGTAAGTTGGTGGTCTGTTGATATCCCTCTAGTAGTGTGGGCGCTGTGCTTTGGCAGAGTGGGTGGGGTTATATCCTGCCTGGTTGGCCCTGTCCGGGGGTATCGTCGGACGGGGCCACAGTGTCCCCCGACCCCCCATCACAGTCTCCAGTATCTATGCTGCAATAGTCTATGTTCCGGGGGGCTAGGGTCAGTCTGTCCTATCTGGTGTAATTCTCCTGTCTTATCTGGTGCTCCCTCTAATTTTACCTTCTCTCTCTCCCTCTCTCTTTCTCCCCTCCTGGAAGACCTGAGCCCTAGGACCATGACTCAGGACTACCTGGCCTGAGGACTCCTGGCTGCCCTTACGAAAAAACATTGCAGTCAGAGTGCAGTATAACTCCAGTGTGCTGCAAATACTGCGTTTAAACTAACACCGTTTTTTTTTACTGCAGTAATTTTGCAGTGTACACTACAGTTATTCTGCAATTACTGTGTCCGAAATACCACAGTCGACACTTTTACTGCAGTTTCTAAACTTCAATCTTTTTTTGTAAGGGTGTCCCAGTGCTCAGTCCACCTGGTCATGCTGCTGATCCAGTTTCTGCTCTATTGCCTGTGGCAATTGAACCCTGACATTCATTCGGACCCTTTCCATATGAACCCTCTTTATCGCGAGATTCAATAACGTTACGTTATTTACGTATTTGCGCATGCGCATTTTTTATTCGAAAACTTGCATGGTGTATGAAGCGGTTGAGAAGCGAAATAGCAGCGGACAGGACAAGAAACAATGGCGACAGCGGCAACTGCAGCGGGTGGAACGGGTTCAGGGGGACCAGCAGCCGGCCCTGTGGGCGTCGGTACTGCGGTGTGCCGTAAGAAAGATGGAGGTCCTTCCTCGAAATACTGGGAGAGCGCAGAAACTGTCTCTCAGATCGATTCGGTGCGCCAATGGATCGGGAAACACTACAAAAAGGTTGGCGAGCGCTGGTTTTAACCTCCATTGATTTCTAACGTCAAGGCACGCGTCTCTAGCACAATGGAAGTGCAATCTAGCTTTCTCTTTCAATCTATCGCTCCCATTAGGTACTTGTGGCAACCTAGATATTAATAGATAGTTAGCTTCATCCATAAAGATGTCCATCGCAACATTAACGTTTTAACAACATGAACATTACATGTCGAAAGATAGCTAGGCTAGCTAACGAAATGTTAGCTGCTAACTGAACAGCCTGACCATACCGTCCGTAATTTTTGTTTTGTTGCACGGCCAGCGCTACCTGAAGAGTTGTCTGTTTGTGTAACCTGTTAGCAAGGTAGCTAACATAATTAGCTAGTTAACGTACTAACTAAGGTAGGTAAGATAACTAGTTAGTTAACATGTTTTGAAACGGTATCATTGATGTAAACATTGGGGTGATCCGGCAAGTCACGTGACTTGACGTAACTAACGTTAGTTAGCTACAGTAACGTTGGGTAACATTGTGATTGAGCAGAGAACAGCAGACGGATCGATTGGTGCGTTGATGTCTTACATTTATGTCTAGTTAATTAGCTGAATCGTCTTGATGGGAAGCCTCGACTACATCATGTACTGAACTAGCTTGAGCTAGGAGACAAACGGTGTTCCGCACATAAAACCAAGCAAAGGCTGCCTTTGCTGACAGCAGCAAAACATCTTATATTTTTTTATATTTTAGTCATTTAGCAGACGCTCTTATCCAGAGCGACTTACAGTTAGTGAGTGCATACATTTTCATACTTTTTTCATACTGGCCCCCCGTGGGAAACGAACCCACAACCCTGGCGTTGCAAGCGTCATGCTCTACCAACTGAGCTACACGGGGCCCAGCGTGGTCGTGGATGCACATGCCAGCCTTAACGTATGGATTTCCCAAAACAACTGTATTGAAAAGAAGTAACTAGCTACTGTAAACTATTTATTTTCTTGAAACCGGGGAGCCACTCTTCAGTGACCAGTGAAGGGGCCTCACTGAATGAAAAAGTGATATCATATCACCCCTCATTTACCTAAGAAAGGCTGTTCTTGTGGTCTTACAGTATGAGCTACCTAATCATGAGATTTTGTGTGTGTCTGCATTGGCCATGTGTTTGTCTGACCATGTAGCCTAACACTTCTGTGGGCTCACAATATTCAATCCCTCCTTTGTCTCACATGAGTGTGCCACCGTCACTAACACAGTGGTCTTGTGGTGTCTCAGTATGTACAGGCAGACTCTCCCTCCAATAAGTCTCTGGCAGGGCTGGTGGTGCAGCTGCTTCAGTTCCAGGAAGATGCTTTCGGACGGAGGGTCAACAACCCTGCCCTCACCAAGTTACCTGTGAGTATCTCCTCCACACACATCTTTACACCTGACCAGGTCGGGACAGGGACGGGACCTACACACATAGTGAAATTGAAATGACGCCTAGACCTTTTTTGGGCAAGGGAAGAGTGGGCTATGGAGGGTTTGAGGGCTTCCCAATCACTTCTGCACATTTTGTGTCATAGTAGTTTGCCCTGTCTTTATCTATGTGAGCTAGCTTGTGTGAACGTCCCTCGCCCTTTTCTCTGTATTGCCTCATCAGACCAAGAGCTTCCTGGACTTCAAGGCAGGGGGTGCTCTGTGTCACATCCTGGGCTCCACCTACAAGTTCAAGAGCGAGCAGGGCTGGTAAGTAGGGTCTTGATTGAATACTTAAAAAATGCATCATTCCCACCTTGGACTAATCACTTATATGATTTGTATAATTAATATTTGAAATGTTATTTCTCCTGTGGAATCACATAGAAGGTAGTGGTTGCTTTAAGAGAGGGAGGTAAAAAGGATGCCCTGTGAAGCTGAGTTGAGACTGTAAGTAACAAACATATGTTCTATCCCTCCTATCTGCAGGCGAAGGTTTGACCTGCAGAACCCCTCCAGGATGGACAGGAATGTAGAGATGTTCTTGAATGTAGAGAAGACCCTGGTTCAGAATAGCTGCCTGACTCGACCAACCGTGTTCCTGGTGCCTGACATGGAGCAGAAGCAGGCCAATAAGCTGAAGGACATCATCAAGAGACACCAGGTAAGACACGCCCACCCAAATTGCACCAACCAATGGTAGGATTGTGTCACCACTCACCAGACATTCAAATGGCATCGTAAAGCTATTTTCCTTCCTTCTTTCCTTTAGGGCTCCATCACTGAGGATAAGTCTAAGGCTACCCATCATATCTACCCCTCTCCAACCCAGCAGGAGGATGGTAAGTGATGTGCTCTACTGAGAAAGGAAATAAAGCTTCCCTTACAATGTACAGTGCCTTCAGAAAGTATTCAGACCCCTTGACTTTTTCCACATTTTGTTACGTTACAGCCTTATTCTAAAATGGATAAAATAGTTTCCCCCCCTTATCAATCTACACACAATACCCCATAATGACAAAGCAAAAACAGGTTTAGACATTTTTGCAAATTGTATTTAAAAAAAAAAACTGAAATATTCATTTACATAAGTATTCAGACCCTTTACTCAGTACTTTGTTGAAGCACCTTTGGCAGCCATTACAGCCTCAAGTCTTCTTGGGTATGACACTACAAGCTTGGCACACCTGTATTTGGGGAGTTTCTCCCATTTTTCTCTGCAGATACTCTCAAGCTCTGTCAGGTTGGACAGGGAGCGTTGCTGCACAGCTATTTTCAGGTCTCTCCAGAGATGTTTGATCGGGTTCAAGTCCGGGCTCTGCCTGGGCCACTTAACGACCTTCTTTTGCACGTAAAAAACAACCGGTGGACAGAGAGAGACTTGCTAGCTAGCTGGGATTTTCTACAAGGAATCTGCCTCCAGAAAAAAGCTTCTCCCAAGCGGGTGTGACACCTACTCCCGTTGCCTGCTGCACTGCTGCTTAGATTCCACCTGGCGATCTGTTCACCGTCTGCCCTGGCCTGTGTCCCCCTGTCTGGTACAGGTACCCCCCGCCACACACTCTCTCCCGAGCTTTCGCTCACCTCCAGCACACACACACACACCGCAGACTTTGGACTGATCAGAATTTTAGGTAGGCTAATTAACTTGTGAAGCTTATTATGTGAGCTTACGCAAATGCTTTAATTAACTAGTATAGGCCTACTATTTATTTATTTTATCTCATACTTTTATAGCCTACTGGACTCCGAGAGCTACTCTCAAGTTATTTTGTTGGGGCGAGTGACTCTTTGAACTTACAATGGCTAGCCCCAAGTCGTTATATTTTTTTATTGTGCTTTATGCTATTTGCCTCATGACTCCTGCGTGCTTTGTTGACTATGAACTTACCCAACCGTGGGACAGACTGTTTGTTTCCACACTCCAGACTCTGACTCTCTATTGGTTACACAGACTCTTGGCTTCCCATCCTATTCTAACCACCTCTCGTTGGCTTTGTATTCATGTTACCTGATGATGAAATTGCTGTACGATATGATCTTGTTGCCATCTGATGCACATTCAAATGTCATAAAGAATCAACACTGCAGAGCTCTCCCTGTCCTCTGCCGTGCCCTGATTCTATTACTAATGATGATATCTGGAAATGTGCACCCTAACCCATCTACTGTTGCTAGCCCCCAATTCTGACTTGTGCTCTGATATGTTTCACTGATTTCTGCTCTCCTAAAAGCCTGGGTTTTCTGCATGTTAACACTAGAAGCCTATTACCTAAAATTGATCAATTGAAGATATGTGTTCACAGCTCCAATCAGATGTGTTGGTCATTACTGAGACGTGGTTAAGAAAGTGTTTTGAACACTGATGTTAACCTTTCTTGTTAAAACCTTTTTCGGCAAGACAGATCTTCCAAAGGTGGTGGAGGGGCAATCTTTACCAAGGAACACCTTCAGTGCGTGGTTCTCTCCACAAAGTCTGTCCCCAAACAATTTGATTAGCTGGTTTTAAGCATTAAACTTTCAAGTAGCTCTTTGTTGACTGTTGCTGGGTGTTATCCTCCACCATCAGCACCGGCCTGTACCCTAAATGCCCTAAGCTCTCTCCTGGCCCCTTACACTAAGTCTGAATTTGTCCTGCTAGGTGACCTAAACTGGGACATGCTTAAACCACCTGACCAAGTCCTAAAGCAATGAGACTCCCTAAATCTTTCTCATATTATTACCACAAGGTATGACTCCAAACACCCAGAAAAGGCTACTCTCCTTGATGTTATCCTCACAAATAATCCTGATAGGTATCAGTCTGGTGTTTTCTGTAATGACCTTAGTGATCACTGTTTTACAGCCTGTATTCGTAATGGCTGCTCAGTGAAACGACCTGTCCTGATTTGTCAGACGCTTGCTAAAAAACTTGAATGAGCAAGCCTTCCTTCATGACCTGGCCTCTGTAAATTGGTATAGAATCAGCTTGATCCCCTCTGTCAAAGACGCTTGGACCTTCTTTTTTGATATTTTCAGTGGTATTGTAAACAAACGCCCCCATAAAGAAAATGAGAATGAAAAACAGGTTCAGCCCCTGGTTCGTCTGTGATCTGGTAGAGTTACTCCACCTCAAGAATTCCATTTGGCGAAAGGCTCGGCACACACTTACTCAGGCTGACTGGCTCTCGTTCCGGCAAATGAGAAATAAGTGCACTCAGGCTATCCGGAAGGCCAAAGTTAGTTACTTTAAGGAGCAGTTCTCTCTCTGTGGGTCTAACCCCAAGAAGTTCTGGAAAACGGTTAAAGACCTGGAGAATAAACCCTCCTCCTCACAGCTGCCCATGTCCCATAATGTTGATGATGTGGTTGTTACTGACAAGGAGCACATGGCTGAGCTCTTTAATCACCCCTTCATTAAGTCAGGATTCCTATTTGACTCAGCCATGCCTCATTGCCCGTCCAACATTTCCTCATCTCCCACCCCTTCTAATGCGACTAGCCCCGATGCTCCCTCTTTTTCCCCTGCCCCACTACATAGTTTCTCCCTGCAGGCGATCACTGAGTCTGAGATGCTAAAGGTTTAGATGGTTTAGATCCTTTCTTCTGTAAGGTTGCAGCCCATATCATCGCCAAGCCTCTCTGACCTTTTTAACCTGTCTCTCCTCTCTGGGGAGGTTCCCATTGCTTGGAAGGCAGCCACGGTGCGTGCTTTATTTAAAGGGGGAGATCAATCTGATCCTAACTGTTATAGGCCCATTTCTATTTTGCCTTGTTTATCAAAAGTGTTGGAAAAAACTTGTCAGGAATCAACTGACTGGCTTTCTTGATGTCTATAGTATTCTCTCTGGTATGCAATCTGGTTTCCGCACAGGTTATGGATGTGTCACTGCAACCTTTAAGGTCCTAAATGATGTCACCATTGCCCTTGATTCTAAGCAATGTCGTGCTGCTATTTTTATTGACTTGGCCAAAGCTTTTGATACGGTAGACCATTCCATTCTTGTGGGCCGGCTAAGGAGTATTGGTGTCTCTGAGGGGTCTTTGGCCTAGTTTGCTAACTACCTCTCTCAAAGAGTGCAGTGTATAAAGTCAGAACATCTGCTGTCTCAGCCACTGCCTATCACCAAGGGAGTACCCCAAGGCTCGATCCTAGGCCTCACGCTCTTCTCAATTTAGGCAGTAGGAAGCTCTCTCATCCATTTATATGCAGATGATAGTCTTATACTCAGCTGGCCCCTCCCTGGATTTTGTGTTAAACGCTCTACTAAGCTTTCTTAGTGTCCAACAAGCTTTCTCTGCCCTTAACCTTGTTCTGAACACCTCCAAAACAAAGGTCATGTGGTTTGGTGAGAAGAATGCCCCTCTCCCCACCCGTGTGATTACTACCTCTGAGGGTTTAGAACTTGAGGTAGTCACCTCATAGAAGTACTTGGGAGTATGGCTAGACGGTACACTTTCCTTCTCTCAGCACAAATCAAAGCTGCAGGCTAAGGTTAAATCTAGACTTGGTTTCCTCTATCTTTCACCCCAGCTGCCAAACTAGCCCTGATTCAGATGACCTTCCTACCCATGCTAGATTACGGAGATGTAATTTATAGATCGGCAGGTAAGGGTGCTCTCGAGCGGCTAGATGTTCTTTACCATTCGGTCATCAGATTTGCCACCAATGCTCCTTATAGGACACATCACTGCACTCTATACTCCTCTGTAAACTGGTCATTTTTACATTTACATTTTAGTCATTTAGCAGACGCTCTTATCCAGAGCGACTTACAGGAGCAATTAGGGTTAAGTGCCTTGCTCAAGGGCACATCGACAGATTTTTCACCTAGTCGGCTCGGGATTAGAACCAGTGACCTTTCGGTTACTGCCACAACGCTCTTAACCACTAAGCTACCTGCTGTATACCCGTCGCAAGACCCACTGGTTGATGCTTATTTATAAAACCCTCTTAGGCCTCACTCCCCCCTATCTGAGATACCTACTGCAGCCCTCATCCTCCACATACAACACCCGTTCTGCCAGTCACATTCTGTTAAAGGTCCCCAATGCGCACACATCCCTGGGTCGCTCCTCTTTTCAGTTCACTGCAGCTAGTGACTGGAACGAGCTGCAAAAAACACTCAAACTGGACAGTTTTATCTTCATCTCTTCATTCAAAGACTCAATCATGGACACTCTTACTGACAGTTGTGGCTGCTTCGCGTGATGTTTTGTTGTCTCTACCTTCTTGCCTTTGTGCTGTTGTCTGAGCCCAATAATGTTTCTACCATGTTGTGTTGCTACCATGCTGTGTTGTCATGTGTTGCTGCCATGCTATGTTGTTGTCTTAGGTCTTTCTTTATGTAGTGTTGTGGTGTGTTTTGTCCTATATTTTTAATCCCAGCCCCCGTCCCCGCAGGAGGCCTTTTGCCTTTTGGTAGGCTGTCATTGTAAATTATAATTTGTTCTTAACTGACTTGCCTAGCTAAATAAAAAATAAAAATAAAATTCAGAGACTTGTCCACTCCTGCGTTGTCTTGGCTGTGTGCTTAGGGTCGTTGTCCCGTTGGAAGGTGTACGTTCGCCCCAGTCTGACGTCCTGAGCGCACTGGAGCAGGTTTTCATCAAGGATCTCTCTGTACTTTGCTCCGTTAATCTTTTCCTCAAACCTGACTAGTCTCCCAGTCCCTGCCGCAGAAAAACATCCCCACAGCATGATGCTGCCACCACCATGCTTCACCGTAGGGATGGTACCAGGTTTCCTCCAGACATGACACTTGGCATTCAGGCCAAAGAGTTCAATCTTGGTTTCATCAGACCAGAGAATCTTGTTTCTCATGGTCTGAGAGTCTTTAGGTGCCTTTTGGCAAACTCCCAAGCGGGCAGTCATGTGCATTTTACTGAGGAGTGGCTTCCGTCTGGGCACTCTACCATAAAAGCCTGATTGGTAGAGTGCTGCAGAGATGGTTGTCCACAGAGGAACTCTGGAGCTCTGTCAGAGTGACCATCAGGTTCTTGATCACCTCCTGACCAAGGCCTTTCTCCCCCGATTACTCAGTTTGGCCGGGCGGCCAGCTCTAGGAAGAGTCTTGGTGGTTCCAAACCTTTTCCATTTAAGAATAATGGAGGCCACTGTGTTCTTGGGGACCTTCAATGCTGCAAACATTTTTTGGTACCCTTACCCAAATCTGTGCCTCAACACAATCCTGTCTCAGAGCTCTATGGACAATTCCTTCGACCTCATGGCGTGTTTTTTTCTCTGACATGCACCGTCAACTGTGGGAACTTTATATAGGTGTGTGCCTTTCCAAATCATGTCCAATCAATTTAATTTACCACAGGTGAACTCCAATCAAGTTGTAGAAACATCTCAAGGATGATCAGTGGAAACAGGATGCACCTGAGCTCAATTTCGAGCCTCATAGTAAAGGGTCTGAATACTTATGTAAATAAGGTATTTCTGTTTTTATGCAAAAATTAAGAAAAAACCTGTTTTTGTTTTGTCATTATAGGGTATTGTGTGTAGATTGAGAAATGTGGATTTAGTCAAGGGGTCTGAATACTTTCTGAAGACACTGTCTATATCACATACTTTGTTATAAACATTGGCCTAGGCCCTGTTATAGGCTGGATTGTGCTGTAATCTTTGAATCTAATTCCTTATGGCCATGTTACTGAGGCTTACCCTACTCTCACATCATATTTCAAACAAAGTAAAATATGTGTATGCAGTAATATACTATTACTAATACAGTAGTGTGTATTCATTACTTGAGTATGTGTGTGTACGCTGGTAAAAAGGTGTGTGTTTGTCTTGCAGAGGAGTGGCTGCGTCCAGTCATGCGTAAAGACAAGCAGGTTCTGGTGCACTGGGGCATGTACCCAGACAGGTGAGAGACTGGCACCTTTTAGACTTTAACGTTGCTGCTCCTGTCTGCCTATACATCCACCCACTGTGACCTGTGACTGACCTTTAACGCCTCTTCTCTGTGCGGTCAGTTATGACACCTGGGTGTCCACCAGCGACGTGGAAGGGGATGTGGAGGATCCACCCACCTCTGAGAAGCCCTGGAAGGTGAGGATAGAGCAGCCAGTCATGATAATGTTATATACAGTGAGGGGGGGAAAAGTATTTGATCCCCTGCTGATTTTGTACGTTTTCCCACTGACAAAGAAATGATCAGTCTATAATTTTAATGGTAGGTTTATTTGAACAGTGAGAGACAGAATAACAACAACAAAATCCAGAAAAACACATGTCAAAAATTTTATAAATTGATTTGCATTTTAATGAGGGAAATACGTATTTGACCCCCTCTCAATCAGAAAGATTTCTGGCTCCCAGGTGTCTTTTTATACAGGTAACGAGCTGAGATTAGGAGCACACTCAAAGAGCTCTCCAAGGATGTCAGGGACAAGACTGTAGACCTACGCAAGGCTGGAATGGGCTACAAGACCATCGCCAAGCAGCTTGATGAGAAGGTGACAACAGTTGGTGCGATTATTCGCAAATGGAAGAAAGAACTGTCAATCTTCCTCGGCCTGGGGCTCCGTGCAAGATCTCACCTCGTGGAGTTGCAATGATCATGAGAATGGTGAGGAATCAGCCCAGAACTACACGGGAGTATCTTGTCAATGATCTCAAGGCAGCTGGGACCATAGTCACCAAGAAAACAATTGGTAACACACTACGCCATGAAGGACTGAAATTCTTCAGCGCCCGCAAGGTCCCCCTGCTCAAGAAAGCACATATACAGAGCTGTCTGAAGTTTGCCAATGAACATCTGAATGATTCAGAGGAGAACTGGGTTGTGGTGAGATGAGACCAAAATTGAGCTCTTTGGCATCAACTCAACTCGCCATGTTTGGAGGAGGAAGAATGCTGCCTATGACCCCAAGAACACCATCCCCACCGTCAAACATGGAGGTGGAAACATTATGCTTTGGGGGTGTTTTTCTGCTAAGGGGACAGGACAACTTCACCGCATCAAAGGGACGATGGACGGGGCCATGTACCGTCAAATCTTGGGTGAGAACCTCCTTCCCTCAGCCAGGGCATTGAAAATGGGTCGTGGATGGGTATTCCAGCATGAAAATGACCCAAAACACACGGCCAAGGCAACAAAGGAGTGGCTCAAGAAGAAGCACATTAAGGTCCTGGAGTGGCCTAGCCAGTCTCCAGACCTTAATCACATAGAAAATCTGTGGAGGGAGCTGAAGGTTCGAGTTGCCAAACGTCAGCCTCAAAACCTTAATGACTTGGAGAAGATCTGCAAAGAGGAGTGGAACAAAATCCCTCCTGAGATGTGTGCAAACCTGGTGGCCAACTACAAGAAACGTCTGACCTCTGATTGCCAAAAAGGGTTTTGCCACCAAGTACTAAGTCATGTTTTGCAGAGGGGTCAAATTCTTATTTCCCTCATTAAAATGCAAATGAATTTATAACATTTTTGACATGCGTTTTTCTGGATTTTTGTTGTTGTTATTCTGTCTCTCACTGTTCAAATAAACCTACCATTAAAATTATAGACTGATCATGTCTTTGTCAGTGGGCAAACTTACAAAATCAGCAGGGGATCAAATACTTTTTCCCCTCACTGTAGGCCTAATCAACCCCCACCTCCAGCCTGAAAAGTACTAGCAGACATTACCACCCTTGAGTACCGCAGTTGTAGTGGATTAGTTTTGACTCTTCTCTCTCCCTCTCCTCCCAGGTGCATGCCAAGTGGGTCCTGGACACCGATGCCTTCAACGAGTGGATGAATGAGGAAGACTATGAGGTGGACGAGAACAAGAAGACTGTGAGCTTCCGCCAAAGGATCTTCCCAAGGGAGGAAGAGGTAGGCCAAACTCTGGGGTGTGTGTTGTGGTAATGTGTGTGTTATGGATTCTTAGGGCGGCAGGTAGCCTTGCGGTTAAGAGCGTTGGGCCAGTAACCGAAAGGTTGCTGGTTTGAATCCCCGAGCCGACTAGGTGAAAAATCTGTCGCTGTATCCTTGAGCAAGGCACTTAACCCTAATTTATCCTGTAAATCGCTCTGGATAAGAGTGTCTGCTAAATTACTAAAATGTAAATGTAGGAAGTGTGTGTGTCTAAGTGAGTTGCTGCACAACAGGGCTCTGCACTGTGGATTGTTGTCTTGTTCTCGTCTGTCTGTTTCTCTCTTGTCTTTTTCTCTCGTTTCTGTGTCGTGTCACCCATCCTTTCAAACTCTTCCTTGCTCTCCTCACCACCACATCCTCCCTCTTCTCCTTCCCCGCTCCCCACTGTGTGAGACTGTTCCATCCTCTCATTCTCTTGCTCTGTCTCTCATCTTGCCATCCCCCGTGGTTCTGATCAGTCTTCCCGTACACCCGATCGTAAGGAGCGCAAGGCCAACGCCGCCGGGAAGAAGAGGAGGCGCTCGCCATCTCCCCCGACCACCCCAGCCGAGTCCCGCAAAAAAGGGCGGAAAAAGGGGGTGAGCCCCCCAAAGTCCAGATTAGGACCGTTTCCGCCCAAAAATCCAATTTAGCCATTAGGGGAAAAACACAAAATGCCCATGGTCATGTTTTGGGAAACTTAAAGCCCCTTGACCCTCTTCCCCTGTCCCAGGACCGGGCTCACTGAAGCGGGTGGCCCCCGGGGCGAGGAGGAGGAGGGGGAAAGAGGCCCCTGACCAAGGACAGGGCCCCCCTCGCCTTTTCCAAGGAGGGGGTCATTTGCCAAAAAAGGTCATTTTTTCCCCAACCGCCCGTCTTTTTCCCCTCATTGCTTCCCCTCTGGACCCTTTCCCTTTGTCTTTTTTTTCCCATGTTCTCACCCCCACCTCTCCCTTTCTTCCCCCCCGGGGCCCCCCCCTCCCCTTTCCCCTTTTTTGGGCAACCCCCAAAACTTTTTCTCCCTTCTCTCCCTTTTGTTTCTTTCTAGTCTCCTTTTCCCTTTCCCCCCCTTCTTATTTTTTTACGTTAAAAAGCCCTTTTTCCTCTCTTTTTTATTTTTTTTCTTCCCCCCCCCCCAACCCCACCCTTCCTCCTTCTTACTTTTTTTTTCTTTTGGCCTTTATCCGGGGATTTTTTCTTTTTTTTTTCGGGCCCCTGGGTGCCCCAAAACCCGAAAAAGCCCCCTATAACTGAGTTTCCCCGGATTTCCCCCACCCCGGAAACCGGGCCAATTTTCCCGGGCCCCCCATTGGGGGGGGGTTTTCCCGGTGGATTGAAAAAAGGGTTAGTGGCAAATTTTCAGCACATGCCCAAATCCCAAAAAACCCCCCCAAAAAACCCCCCCCCAAATTAAAAAAAGGGGGGGTTTTTAAACCCCCCGGTTCCCCCCCTTTTTTCCTACGGAACCGGGGCCTTTTTTAGTTTGGGTTAAATTTTTCGGGGGAAATTTAAAAAAACCCCCCTGAAAAAAAGGGTTTTTTTTTGGGGTTTGTGTCCCACTTTTCCTCGTTCTCCTCTTCCTCGCTCCTCTGTCCTCACCCCTTTTTCACTCTCACCCCTACTTCCCTCTCCCTCCTCGTGGTCCACCCCTCCCTCTCTTCTCCTTCATTGGCTCAGTCACTCTAAATCACATGTTGTAAATCTCCCTTTCTCTCTCATGGTCCTGTTTCTTTCTCTGAGTGCATCCATCTTATGCTTGTCACCATGTTGACTTGCATTTTATTCATCTCTGTAGTAACTGCAGTTTGTTCCTCTCTGAATTTGTTATTTTTTTCTAACTGTGACACGCCTCACATACACACATACACGCTGTCCTTGCCAAGATTTACATTTACATTTTACATTTTAGTCATTTAGCAGACGCTCTTATCCAGAGCGACTTACAGTTAGTGAATACATATTTTTTTAATACTGGCCCCCCGTGGGAATCGAACCCACAACCCTGGCATTGCAAACGCCATGCTCTATCAACTGAGCTACATCCCTGCATAGCATGGAATAGCCTGGGGGGACTTTCTTCAGTGGTGCATTGAATGGAGTGCTAGTCGGGCAGAAAGTGTTCTAAAGCCAAACACACTCGGCTAAAAATGGTATTTTTGGACCCAGTCCCATCTGCAATGTCCCACTTCTGCAACCCCCCCTCCCCCCCTCTGTATCTATTTCCGTGGCTGATTTTAAAAAAGAGAGCTTACAAGAGTAAAGAGAGCCGATAGCTACTGTCAGTGTATTTCACCCCTACCGTACTCTGGCTATTCTTCAGCCTTTGTTTTTCTTCCCTGTCCTCAGTGAACCCTAAGAAAGACAGCGAGAACACCCCAGTGAAGGGGGGGGCAGTGGCTGATTTGGGTAAGTGTGTGTGTGTGCAGAACTATTTCAGTGTTTAAGTATCTACCTGTCTCAGTACTAAACTGTCAATCACCGAGATGTATTGTTTATTTTATTTATTTAACCTTTATTTAACTAGGCAAGTCAGTTAAGAACAAATTCTTATTTACAATGACGGCCTACCAAAAGGCAAAAGGCGGGGACGGGGAAAAAAAATCATTAAAATATAGGCCCAAACATACATCACGACGAGAGAGACCTAAGACGACAACATAGCATGGCAGCAACACATGACAACAATGGATAGAGTGATGTCATAATGCACTCTCTCTGTCTTCTAGATGATCTGGAGGATGGCTCTGTGGTCTCCGGAGGCAAGGTAACACCAGTTTTTTTCCTTAAAACCTTTAATGATTGCCTCTAAATACATTCTCTTTTCCATCTTCATCGTAAACTGTTCCCTATTCACCCACACACACAACCATAGTTGTCATTGATAGATATAGGATGAGATTATCATAACCCCTGTTCTTAGCATATCCAGAAGGGGATGGAAAAATGTCTGACCTGGTGTCAGTGTTTAGAGGCAATGTCTACCTATTTGTAGATTTGGGCCCGGTTTCCCGATAGCGATGGAACTTAGGCCTACGGCTGTTTTTAACGTTGCATCTTTCCTACAACGGCCGAAGATGTAACATGCGTTTCCCAAAACACCACACAGAGAGAACGGTCACAAAGTGCGTAATTGGAGCATGTGTCGATACTGATGCGATCGAAAGAAGGGGAGTGCTGGTCTCAGATCAGCTTTCTCCATTAAAATCTTTCCTTAAAATTATAATTATTTCACAATACTGATGACGGATCAGCTCCTATTACCACCTACGTCTGCAAATATTGAGTCCGCTTATTATAATGCTTACCCAATGACAATGCACTAAATCACCAATTTGGCACATCATTGCGCACATGTTCGGCTACATATCATGAAATATATTGAGACAAATTAGACCGTAGCCTACAAGTAGCAAAATAGAACTCAGTTGAGTTTTTATATGTCGCTTGTTTGTGTCCATCGCAAAGACATTGACAACATTGTATTTGTAGTGAACTTTGTTCGGAAGTTAACGGCGGTCACAGACTGATAAACCATGTGATTCTATGTTTAGCGGAGGTCTTCTGTGTATAAAGTGACACGGGAGGGCAAAAAAGCATCTGACGCACTTAGCTGTTCTACGAGTGGTCTGAGGCATGCGTTAGATTACGAGCGTTTTCCAGTGCAACGTTAATAACGTTGGTTTTAGGAAACACCTCCAAGATTTAACGATGCTCCTATGAAGGTTCTAACGATGAACTTAGCCATAAGATGCTTTTGGGAAACCAGGTCCTGTTCTGCCGTAAAGTACCACCAGACGCAGCCTCTTTCAGATCCAGTTTTCCTACATTTGGAATGGGACTATTCCTGATTCATCTGGAAATCCTGCTTTAACGTTTGATCCTCCGTTCATATATAATAGAAACTGACCAACCCCTAGCCAGAATTCTGCTCTCCTTTCTTGCCTATTTTGACCTGATCCCATCCGTGTGAACCTTCCCAAGTTCTCTCACATCACCCCGCTCCTCCGCACACTCCACTGGCTTCCAGTTGAAGCTCGCATCTACTACAAAACCATGGTGCTTGCCTACGGAGCTGTGAAGGGAACGGCACCTCCGTACCTTCAGGCTCTGATCAGTCCCTACACCCAAACGAGGGCATTGTGTTCATCCACCTCTGGCCTGCTGGCCCCCCTACCTCTGCGGAAGCACAGTTCCCGCTCAGCCCAGTCAAAACTGTTCGCTGCCCTCACGACGCCAGGACAGCGGAGTCACTCACCACCTTCCGGAGACACTTGAAACCCCACCTCTTTAAGGAATACCTGGGATAGGATAAAGTAATCCTTCTACCCCCCCTTACCCCACCCCCCCCCCCAAAAAAACATATATATATAAAAAAAAATATTGTAAAGTGGTTGTCCCACTGGCTATCATAAGGTGAATGCACCAATTTGTAAGTTGCTCTGGATAAGAGCGTCTGCTAAATGACGAAAATGTAAATGTGTGACTCTGTCTCCCCCTGCAGGAGGAGGAGGAGCAGGGCAAGGCCGATGTCAACCGCCTCATCGACTCCAGCGAGGACAACGTGACCGAGCAGACCCACCACATCATCATCCCCAGCTACGCCGCCTGGTTCGACTACAACTGGTGAGGAATGGCCCACTGTTCTTAATGTGTGTGGAGTGTATCGTGTGTGTTTTGGGGTGGGGGTGTATTTTATTTTTGTGTCTGAGTTTACTCCCCCCCCCCCCTCTCTTTCAGTATCCATGAGATTGAGAGGCGTGCACTGCCAGAGTTCTTCAACGGCAAGAACAAGTCCAAGTCCCCAGAAATGTGAGTCAGCAAAGAACACTGCCCCACACACAACGCACTCAAACCATTAAAGAACTGCAGACGCACGCTTTCACTAAGAATTTTCCGTCGTATATACACACAAACACACACCCATTGCTGTATAACACATTACATCCTTATTTGTTCAGACTATTCAGTGGTTTGTTTGTAAAATGTGTTTTCCTGTCTTGTCCCTGTCAGATATCTGGCCTACCGTAACTTCATGATCGACACGTATCGGCTCAACCCCCAGGAGTACCTGACCTCCACCTCCTGCCGCAGGAACCTGACGGGAGACGTGTGTGCCGTCATGAGGTGAAAGGTCAAGGGGTTAACATGAAATGGATTCCCTAGGGCAGAAGCTAGGACGTTGTTCGTCAGGGCACACCGTTTGGGATCCTGAGTGGCGCAGCGGTCTATGGCACTGCATCGCAGTGCTAGAGGCGTCACTACAGACCCGGGTTCGATCCCGGGCTGTATCACAACGGCCGTGATCGGGAGTCCCATAGGGCGGCGCACAATTGGCCCAGCGTCGTCCGGGCTAGGGGAGGGTTTGGCCGGTGTAGGCCGTCATTGTAAATAAGAATTTATTCTTAACTGACTTGCCTAGTTAAATAAAACGCTTTGTAAGGGGGGGGTTGCAAGCCTGTTCCAGTCAGTTTTTTTTCTCCATTTGGTCTCTAATGAATAATACTCAGGTTTAGTTGGACTGTCCTGTCTTGCTCTAGATCACTGATCAGGAGTGATGATTGTGGAGTATATTCTTTGCATGTATCTAACTGTCATGTCTCTCTCTTCTAGGGTCCATGCATTCCTGGAGCAGTGGGGGCTGGTGAACTACCAGGTGGATGCTGAGAGCCGGCCCCTCCCCATGGGCCCCCCGCCCACCCCCCACTTCAACGTGCTGGCTGACACCCCCTCTGGCCTGACGCCGATGCACCACCGCCCCCCACAGGTTAGATAGACAACTACATGGAGCTTTGGTCACATTGCTTTCACCTGTCCAGCCCTTTCAGGTGTTTGGATACTGAGGGGAATGGTCTTTAAACCAAATACACATACAGGCGCTGTGTGTCTGCAACCATTAATTTTGATGATTTGATGGGTCACAAATGTTGTGAGTGGTTGAGCGAAAGTATTCACTGCATCCTCTGACCACTGTGTGATTCCTTTCACCCTGTCTCTCCTCCATCCATCCTTCTAGATCCCCTCTGGCCAGCAGATGCTCAACTTCCCAGAGAAGGGCAAAGACAAGCCCTCTGACATGCAGAACTTTGGCCTGCGTAACGACCTCTACTCCAAGAAGAACCCCAAGAGTAAAGGAACCAGCGGCGGCCGGGAGTGGACCGAGCAGGAGACCCTGCTCCTATTGGAGGTACGTCAATCACAACTTACCAGCTGACCAATCACAAATGGACTGCATAGCATACCAGCCTATCGGAGCCTTTCTCATCCCTTCATCTCCCTTCACACCACTTCACTAATCGCAAACATAATCTAAAACCTACCAGCCTATCAGAGCTCTTCTCATTCCTCTATCTCCTCCCTACCAGGCTCTGGAGATGTACAAGGATGACTGGAACAAGGTGTCGGAGCACGTGGGCTCGCGCACCCAGGACGAGTGTATCCTGCACTTCCTGCGTCTGCCCATCGAGGACCCCTACCTGGAGAACTCTGAGTCGTCCCTGGGCCCCCTGGCCTACCAGCCCGTACCCTTCAGCCAGTCAGGCAACCCCGTCATGAGCACTGTGGCCTTCCTGGCCTCCGTGGTGGACCCCCGCGTGGCCTCCGCCGCCGCCAAGGCAGCCCTGGGTACGTGACTGGGGAGTGTGTTGGGGGGAACTGGGTGTGTGGGTCATTTGCAATATGTGGTAGCCTAGCAAGTGTGTTTTATCGTAAAATAAAATGTGTTTTCATTTGTATGTAATATCACACTGCATGTAGTGTGTGGTAAGGATACGGTTGTGTGTGTAATATCGCTGTGTGTTTGAACATATCAGTGTGTGTGTGGAGGGACTATCACAAGGTGTGAGTCTGTAGCTAACTGCAGTGCCTCCCTCTCTCTCCAGAGGAGTTTAGCCGTGTGCGTGAGGAGGTGCCAGCAGAGCTGGTGGAGGCCCATGTGAAGAAGGTTCAGGAGGCGGCCCGCAGCACGGGCAAGGTAGACCCCGCCTATGGCCTGGAGAGCAGCGGCATCGCAGGAACCGCCCCCGAGGAGCCCGAGAAGACCGGTAAAACAGAACACACACTCAGAAAAGAACATACAACCTCGGAAAAGAACACACACTCAGGACAGAACAGAATACACACATACTCGGAACAGAACACATGCATTCAGATATATGTACACACAGTCACACATTTGCAAAGGTAGATACAAAAATATACACTAGTGATCGGGGGAAAAAATTGAAAGTTATATATTGGGATCATTTTGACTATCACAATTTTATTTTTGCGCTAGTTGGCTGTACCTGCACCAATTTCCAGAATTTTTTCTTCATAGCGTGTTCTCCATCTTTTTAAATATGGAGCCAATTTTTGTTCAGCACTTATTTCCATGACTGATCAAAACTTGTTTTTTCATGGCTGTCTCTTGTCCCTCTGCAGCAATATGTTTGGAACATCGAATTGCAATACAATCACAGTATCGAATCACAATACATATAGAATTGCGTAAGCACACATGCCTTCATATAAACATACAAAAACGTTCTCTCATCACATACGTTAAACATACTCTCATGCATACGATACTCACACAAAATACCCACCCATATGCACACGCCCACATTTAGATGGAGTACTGAGTGTTACCAGTGGAGGGCAGCAAATGGCCAAGACACAGACAGACCACAGCTAACAGGTTAGGGCGAGGCTGCTCTTAGCCAGCTGTCGGCAGGTCACCTAGACCTTATGCCTACCTCCTGCATGTGTGTGTGCGCTCGCGTGGGTAAAGCCAGATGTGGATTCTCACCAGAACATTAGAGGTTCCAGCTGAAATCAGGATGGCCAGTGGGGGGGGGGCGACGTAGAGGTTTCTTCAGAGTGTGTTATGTGTATGTGCCTGGCTGCCGTGGTAACCAGTGGATTAGAATGGCAGATGGGGGTGGGGGAGGGGTTGAAACTGGGTCAACACACTATGCCATGTGCCATGGGCCTCAATGCCTGGTACACAAACAGCAATCCCTCAATCAGCAATTACACATGAATAAATGCATGTTACACACACACGCATCAGCAATCAATAAATGGCCTAAATGCATTCAATACCCTCCCCAAAGCAGTCTACCATCTCTCATACAGGTCAATAATTGCATAGTAGAAAACATGCACACATGGACATGCTTTTTCAAACACACATTCATGCGCTCACTCCCCATAGACTCACTCACTTTCTCCTACATTTGCACATGCACACACACACACACACACACACAAATACACACTGTCTGAACCATGGTGAGGGTCTACTGATGATGCATAATCTGTTTTCTCTGAGAAATGTCTTGTTCTTTGTCTAGCCCTTTTCTCAAACCCCGTCTCTCTGTCTGTCATTGTAGAGCCAGCAGAGACAGAGAAAATGGACACAGACTCCGACTCCCAGCAGCCTGACAAGGTGAGACGACCCAGGGGTGAGAGGTCTTTTAGTTTAGTTAATTCATTCGACCATTTAAAAAAACAAGCACACATAAAACTTGAAAAAGCCATACATACACATGAGTAAAATCATCGAGGATAACACACAATCAAGTCTGGGACTTATTTCCATTGTGGTCCTCTTGAAACAAGATGGCTAGGAAAGATCCAACACGGTTGAACACCGTATAACAGAGAGATGATAATAAAACATAGATAGAACATCTATCTCATCGTTGCAGTTACATCGTAGGGGACATTCATATGGGCACAGAAGACATCAAACAGTGTTTTACTTTATTTCTAAAGCAGGCAGTCATACGGTCTGCCCCCTACATTTACTACTCTCTCTCTCTCACCATCCATCCACCCTATTTCTCTGTGTTTAGGAAGGCCACAGGGTAAATGTAACACCACAGATCACATTAGCAGGAGTTAGCCATGCATCAGTGACCAGTGTAGAGGGGGGAATCTTCATTAACCTTCATTAGCCATCTCCTATCCACGCTGGTTCTGGTCCTGATTGTTTTACTGCAGGCTTATTGAAATACAGAGCATTAACTTTGACCCTTGTTCGGTTTAGTTCATTTTTCTCCTTAGCTCTCAATGACCTGTCTAGCTGTAGTCTTCAGTTTGGTATTTCTCAGTTCTATATCACCTTCAGTTCTGTGTGACCTGCATATAAATATAGTCAGCTATGTAACACCTCAGTCTTACCTGTCGCTGCGCGTCTCTGTTGTCTCAGGCTGAGTCTAAGGATGAGGCGGAGAAGCCCAGTGAGTCTGCTGAGAAGCCGGCCGAGGGAGAGAAGGTGAAGAGCGAGACGGCCGAACCGTCGGAGCGGGAGGAGGGAGAGAGCGAGGGAGGAGAGGGCAAGGCTACAGCAGGTACAGTAGATGGATGATTCAATCGAAGCAGAATAGCCTTTTTTTATTTGGGTTGTATAAGTCCTGCATTGACTTGAATTGATATCGAATTATAATGTTTATGCAATGTTTTCGCAATGTTTTCAGACAAAGGCAAGGAGGAGGCCATGGAGACCTCGGAGGATGACAAGGAGAAGGAGGATCAGGGAACGATGGACGAGGAGGAAGAGGAGAGGAAGAAGCTAGAGTCGGACGGAGGGGAGGGGAACATCGCTACTGCAGCCGCCGCTGCCCTCGCCTCAGCTGCCACCAAGGCCAAGGTGAGCTTATTCTAGAGGGCCCAGGGGTGAGCTTATACTAGAGGGCCCAGGGGTGAGCTTATACTAGAGGGCCCAGGGGTGAGCTTATACTAGAGGGCCCAGGGGTGAGCTTATACTAGAGGGCCCAGGGGTGAGCTTATTCTAGAGGGCCCAGGGGTGAGCTTATTCTAGAGGGCCCAGGGGTGAGCTTATTCTAGAGGGCCCAGGGGTGAGTACTGAGGCCCGGGGCTTATTCTAGAGGGCCCAGGGGTGAGCTTATTCTAGAGGGCCCAGGGGTGAGCTTCTTCTAGAGGGCCCAGGGGTGAGCTTATTCTAGAGGGCCCAGGGGTGAGCTTATTCTAGAGGGCCCAGGGGTGAGCTTATTCTAGAGGGCCCAGGGGTGAGCTTATTCTAGAGGGCCCAGGGGTGAGCTTATTCTAGAGGGCCCAGGGGTGAGCTTATTCTAGAGGGCCCAGGGGTGAGCTTATTCTACAGGGCCCAGGGGTGAGCTTATTCTAGAGGGCCCAGGGGTGAGCTTATTCTAAGGGCCCAGGGGTGAGATTATCTAGAGGGCCAGGGGTGAGTTATCTAGAGGGCCAGGGTGAGACTTATTCTAGAGGGCCCAGGGGTGAGCACTTTGTACAGTGAGGGAAAAAAAGTATTTGATCCCCTGCTGATTTTGTACGTTTGCCCACTGACAAAGAAATGATCAATCTATAATTTTAATGGTAGGTTTATTTGAACAGTGAGAGACAGAATAACAACAACAACAAATCCAGAAAAACGCATGTAAAACATTTTATAAATTGATTTGTATTTTAATGAGGGAAATAAGTATTTGACCCCCTCTCAAACAAAAATATTTCTGGCTCCCAGGTGTCTTTTATACAGGTAACGAGCTGAGATTAGGAGCACACTCTTAAAGGGAGTGCTCCTAATCTCAGCTTGTTACCTGTATAAAAGACACCTGTCCACAGCAATCAATCAATCAGATTCCAAACTCTCCACCATGGCCAAGACCAAAGAGCTCTCCAAGGATGTCAGGGACAAGATTGTAGACCTACACAAGGCTGGAATGGGCTATAAGACCATCGCCAAGCAGCTTGGTGAGAAGGTGACAACAGTTGGTGTGATTATTCGCAAATGGAAGAAACACAAAATAACTGTCAATCTCCCTCAGCCTGGGGCTCCATGCAAGATCTCACCTCGTGGAGTTGCAATGATAATGAGAACGGTGAGGAATCAGCCCAGAACTACACGGGAGGATCTTGTCAATGATCTCAAGGCAGCTGGGACCATAGTCACCAAGAAAACAATTGGTAACACACTACGCCGTGAAGGACTGAAATCCTGCAGCGCCCACAAGGTCCCCCTGCTCAAGAAAGCACATATACAGGGCCGTCTGAAGTTTGCCAATAAACATCTGAATGATTCAGAGGAGAACTGCGTGAAAGTGTTGTGGTCAGATAAAACCAAAATCGAGCTCTTTGGCATCAACTCAACTCGCCGTGTTTGGAGGAGGAGGAATGCTGCCTATGACCCCAAGAACACCATCCCCACCGTCAAACATGGAGGTGGAAACATTAAGCTTTGGGGGTGTTTTTCTGCTAAGGGGACAGGACAACTTCACCGCATCAAAGGGACGATGGACGGGGCCATGTACCGTCAAATCTTGGGTGAGAACCTCCTTCCCTCAGCCAGGGCATTGAAAATGGGTCGTGGATGGGTATTCCAGCATGACAATGACCCAAAACACACGGCCAAGGCAACAAAGGAGTGGCTCAAGAAGAAGCACATTAAGGTCCTGGAGTGGCCTAGCCAGTCTCCAGACCTTAATCCCATAGAAAATCTGTGGAGGGAGCTGAAGGTTCGAGTTGCCAAACGTCAGCCTCAACCTTAATGACTTGGAGAAGATCTGCAAAGAGGAGTGGGACAAAATCCCTCCTGAGATGTGTGCAAACCTGGTGGCCAACTACAAGAAACGTCTGACCTCTGTGATTGCCAACAAGGGTTTTGCCACCAAGTACTAAGTAATGTTTTGCAGAGGGGTCAAATACTTATTTCCCTCATTAAAATGCAAATCAATTTATAACATTTTTGACATGCGTTTTTCTGGATTTTTCTGTTGTTATTCTGTCTCTCACTGTTCAAATAAACCTACCATTAAAATTATAGACTGATCATGTCTTTGTCAGTGGGCAAACGTACAAAATCAGCAGGGGATCAAATACTTTTTTCCCTCACTGTATATCTGACCCTGAAACTACACCGCAAGCATAGCGGCAGCTTTCCGTATGCGCTGTTTTTGGTGTCCGAAACCAGAAGTAGCAAACGGAGGCAGAAATCAAAAGCGAGAGACACTTTTTCAGTTGGGAAGCGTGAACGAAATGCAATGAAATAGACCTGAAGCCTTAACAGATGCTTCAGCAGCTCAAGCTCCATTCACTCATGCTATGCTTGCGCTGCCGGTGTAGCATCTCTCATTGATCGGTATGTCAGTTTTCCCCATGGCTCAAAAGCGCTTGCGCTACGCTTACACTACCTGGCCAGTCTAGTTGTTACTTCTCTTTCCTCTGTATTTCTCCCTTTCCCTGTAGCACCTGGCGGCGGTGGAGGAGAGGAAGATCAAGTCTCTGGTGGCTCTGCTGGTGGAGACTCAGATGAAGAAGCTGGAGATCAAGCTCAGACACTTTGAGGAGCTGGAGACCATCATGGACCGAGAGAAAGAGGCTGTAAGTAGTGGGACAGAGGTGGATTATGGGAAATGTAGTTCAGTGGAAGACTGCTGCTGGTTGAACGTGTTTGTAGTTTCAGACCCCTTTGGGATGTGAAAGGATTGGATATGCATCTGAAATGTAGTGGTATCTAGGCTATATCAGTGTTAGTTATCACCCATCCAGGCATTTGAGATGTGTGTGAGGTAGAGCCAACGACAGATGGATAACTTGGCTGGACAAATAGATGGTTTTGGGAGTGGGCCTATATCTACAACATAAGCAGAGGAAGTGAAAAGTGTAAATATAAAACATTTGCATTAATAATGGATGGTAATTTGAGGGGTGGGGAGTACACAGAGGATAGTAGAATAAAGAACATGCAAGCATATGAAGGAAACACACTTGGGGGGGGGGGGGGGGGGGGTCAGGCGTCGTTGCTGTGTCCATTTGGATACACATGGTTTAAGTTGCTCAACTAACTGCTGGGTAGATAGGGGGCCTGTAGTCCAGTGGAAAGGGTGGCTGTGTGTGTCAGGAGTGTAAAACTCTAAAGCGTGGAGCTGCTGCGGACCGTAGGCCAGTGAACAGCCTGATAAATAGTGCATGAAAAAGCCAGCCAGCCATTACATAACCCTCTGGAACAGCACCCAGGCTGCCTCCCTCCTACCGTTACCACAGGCTGTAAACACTGGGTCACACACACTCTCTCAAATACACACTGTGTCTCCGTCTTAAACACACACACACACAAATGCTAAATAAGGGCACTCCTCACTGTCTTACTACTCCACATTCTTCCACCTCTACAAATGTACTTACCAGGGCACAAATAGGGAATATACTTCCTCTCCCTTACCTCCTTCCCTCTCTTTTTCCACCTCTCTCCGTCTCTGTAGAGTTTCTGGTAATGGAATTCCCCAATTTGATTCCGTGTCAGAGAGAGTGTTAGTGGTTTATTGCATGCAAATCAATTCCTTTTATCGACATTTCCAGCCATTGCTCCCTCTCTCCTTCCTGCTTCCAGAGTGGTCCTGTTTCACTGCCCCCTCTCTTCCTCCTCACGGTCTCATTCCATTGCTTTTCCTCTCTCCCGCTGCACCGCTCTTCCCCTCTGTCATAATGTCAGCTATCGTGATCATTTTGTCTTTATAGCTTATACTCTGTTTAATTCTTTCCTTATTCCTCTCCCTCATTCTTTGATTTATCAATCCATGGCACAATGAAATGAAGCTGTTTTGTGTATCACCACCCTCCTCCATATACCACTGTTGACTTGGTATATCATCCTCTCTCTGTGATACTATGAGTAATGATCATCCTTATACTTGTGGACAATGGGCTTTTGAGAAGCGAATGGGAATGATAATCATGATTAATAGTATGATAAAATGATGACCTCACCCCCCATCTCTCTCGCAATCGCCCTCTCTTCCTGTCCCGCTTTCTAACCCCACCCTCTCTCACCCCTATTTCTGCCACCTCTCTCTAACCCCCCTCTCTCACCCCTCCAGTTGGAGTTGCAGAGGCAGCAGCTGCTGACGGAGCGCCAGGCCTTCCACATGGAGCAGCTGAAGTATGCTGAGATGAAGGCCCGCCAGCAGATGGAGCAGCAGCAGGCCAACGCAGCGGCCCAGGGACCCACACCCCACCATGGCCCCCCAGGCCCAGGCATGCACCACGGACCCACCCACCACGGACCCCCTCCCGCCATGCACTCCGGACACGGCCCCCCCGGCCCCGGGTTCCACCCCATGGGTCCCCACCACCCGCAACAGACAGGTAAGGTCACACACACTGGAGCACACCATCTCTCAGCAAAGAAGCGCACAAAAGACCCAGAAACTCCTGGAACAATATCCAAGGCAAGGGAATAACACAAAATATTAGCTAGGAAACATTAGCCAGTTTTCAAAAACATGTTCCAGCACACTGATTCTGTGATAGGCCAAGTGTCTCACCAAGCCTCTCCTTTTGTTTAGGACCAATGGGAGGGCCCGGTCAGCCCATGCCAGGGCGCATGATGCCTGGCGGCCCCCCTCCTGGCAGCATGCCTCCCATGATGGGCCCCCGCCACCCTGGAGCCCCCAACGGCATGTGTGAGTACACTATCTGTACCTGCATTCCAGATCCTGTGTGTGTGTTGGTGTGTCCCATTCTCTAACCAGTGTGTGCTCTGTCCTCAGACCCTGGCCCCTCGCCTGTACAGCCTGATGGGATGCCCCCAGCGTCTGTGGGACCTCAAGCTGCAGCCCCAGCACGAGTTGCTGACAACTAAGACGCCTGCCCCCAAACCAACACACACACTCACCTCTTATTAAAACCTCAGATCATTGATGGCCTTGCTACTGGCTGGGTGTTCTGTCAACTCCAAAAACTCCTCCTGGCTTCCACACACACACACCCCTCCCACTCAGGGCACAGCGTCAATGGGGCTGTGGCTCTGGCCCTCCTAGTAAGAACACTGTTTTCTCCTCAGTCAGTCTGGTGTGGGGCAGATCAGATAGGCTCCTCCCAGTTATTTTTAAGGATATATTGTGTTGTTCTCTATTTAAAAGAATATGAAGCTAATATTTTGGGAGAAAATAGGAAAACTCCCACTTTTTTTCCCTTTCTTTCCTCTCTCACCTTTTAGAACTACACTCTAGTCTCTTCCTCTCCTTCAGCGCAACACCAACTCCTCCCAACACAACATCAGAGGGAGCTAGTTGGGTTTGAGGGCTAGTTGATCATTTAGGGACGTGTGTTGTGTACTGTAATGAATGGGAGCATGAGGGTTTCCTTCGACACACACAGAGGGGACCAGTGACCCTCCCCTCACACACGCTCTTCTCACTGAGAATCTACCTCTCCACTTTGCTCTTCTGAAACTAAACACTGTAGTCCGAAGTGTGTTCATGTGTTCGTTATTGGTGTCAGAATAGCAGAATGTGCGTACAGCAGAGACAGGTGTTTGATGACTGTCTGCTCGGCTGCTCTGCCCCCCCCCCCCCATCATATGGGTCACACCAACGATTGATGGGGGTGTCCAGAGGGCCCATAACTCGTACCCCTACCCCCCATAGCCCCCACCAGCCAGGCGTAGCACTGTACTACTCACACACTTAGCTGAACCCTGCTCTAGTACCCTGGAGGCTGCTCACACACATCCCACTGACCTTCATCCATCCTTTTAGTGAGCTAGATATGGTGATATAGTTGTAGTTAAAAACAATGTGCTCTTCCTTGGTGGTGGAGTGGGCTTCTAGCTGTTCCGGTGCTGATAATGTAGCTACTAGCGCTAGCGCTACCTCTCCATTCATTTCAACACCACTCTACACCTCTCTGCTAGCACTGTTGTCTTTCTGCTACCTCTTTGCCTCCTCCCTTTCTTTCTCTGTCTGCTACCTCTCTAGAAGTCCTTTTGCTCTCTGCTAGCTACCTCTAGTGCCCCTCTCTAATTCGCTGCCACGTGACTGCTGCATTACTGTTACCCCTCTTCCCTCAGGTAGAATAACACACATGCATACACACAGCATCTCTCTCTTGCTCTCTCTCACTTCCTCATTCAAGGTCTTTCCAGTCTGTTATATCACAAATGATGAGAACCCACTTACATCTTGTATCTTTTTTTGTTTTATGGTCATGTATTTTTAAGAATAAACTTTGTGTAGATTGAGTTATCTTTGTTCTTGGAAGTTTGTAGCATAGTTTTGGTTTTTTTATTTTTTATTCAGGTCTGTTGGTACTTGGACCTGGACAATGTCTAATAAATTGTTTTTGTATGAAGTGATGTCTGATGTTATTTTCCGTAGTTAATTTATTCTGAAGTAAATGTTGGATTTCGTGCCTACACTTGATCGAATTGATAGATGTGTATAATTTCAGGGAGTGTCTACAATATCTAGACTGGAGCATGAGGAAATGCTCACATTATCCTGGGAAATTATATTTCTCTATACATATGTCTCTAACATTGACAGGTACAGACGGGGTAATCATTTTATGGTCGCAAAAAATAACTCACCGTATTTCATATTAAACACTGTTGTCTGACAAAACCACACCTCAAACCAAAAAAATCTGCCTTTGTCTGGTGAGTGGTCTAGGACAAAGGCGAAGTGCTACAGGGGAGAGATGGTCTTTGTTTGTGTGGTTGTTTTGCTGCTTAGGCTCTTATGCAGCAGCTGCAAATGTATATGAGTAAAAATGAGAAGAATAACAGCATCTATCCATCCTGGTGGAATTTAAGCCCTAATCCCAGGCAGCCAGCACTGTAATCTGGCGAGAGGGGGGATTTCTCTGCCCATGGAGATTGACCAGGAGGATGTTATTGAGAGGGATGAGGGGCGATTATGTCTTGGGTTGAGTGGGGGTTGGGAGGGGTGTTTTTTGTCCCACTTTGTGCCATTTGAGCAGCCGTAGAGGAGGGAAACCGTGATCATGCGGTACAGATACAGTAATGACAAAGCATCACCCTTTAGAACAGGGTTCATGTTTTTGATTTAACCGACCTGGAAGACCAGGTGTGTTGAATTTATGCAATCCCTGAACTGCTCAATCATCTCTGTTGGTCAGGTGTGGTGCCTAGTTGGAACGAAACAGGGTTGCCTACCCCTGCTCTAGAAGATCTAATTCTCTTCACATAAACAGGCACAATGTTTTGAACAGCTCCTCTCCTCCAGATCTGAAAGGGCATCTATACTGAACAAAAATATAAACGCAACATGTAAAGTGTTGGTCCCATGTTTCATGAGCTGAAATAAAAATTCCTAGCAATTTTCATATCTGTATTCCCAGTCATGTGAAATCCATAGATTATGGCCTAATGAATTTATTTCAATTGACTGATTTTCTTATATGAACTGTAACTCAGTAAAATCTTCAAAATTGTTGCATGTTGTGTTTATATTTTTGTTCAGTATAAAAGCATGGCAATATGGTGGACAGGACACCAATCCAGTCCTTGTGTTTATCAGTGGTCACAGAGGAAAGAAGACAAGGGGACGGACCTCCTGATCCACACTCCTCCTTCTGTCCTCCATGCACTCTCCCTCCTTCCTCCACTCCTCTTCCCCAGCTGAGTGAGTGTGCTGCTGATGGCAGCGGGGATAGAACTAGCTGCTCCCTGAATGAGTTGAGATGTTTCATAATTAACACTGTGTCTCCCTCTGCCCTCCCACAGCTGCGCCGATTCTGCCACTACCGATGAGCTTTACTCTTCACATCTCAAGCGAAGCTCTCCTTCACGCTTCCCTTCTCCCTCTGCTTTCCCCCCTTCATGTCATTCTCCTCATTTTACCTCCACCTTGATTTTGACAAGTTATTTTTCCTCTCCCCTCCCTATGTAGTCCCGTCTTCCTGTTCCTCTCTTTGGTTGCTTAGGCAACAGATCAAGTACCCTTAGTAATTGAAGTAGACTAACATGCTGATAGTGTGAAACTGTTTTTAGCATCAGCCCAGCTGTCTTGCTTACTAGTATGTCAATAGTGTGTCAATTTAATCCTTCACTTTGGGCCAATAGTTCCCCTCTATGTGGTTGATTTAGTGGCTGTAAACAGAAACAAATCCATAAGTATCATCCATAAACAGATTCATGAATATGAGGTGATTTGTGTTGACAGGCCTAAAACAGGTCTATGAATAGTGCATTGGGAAGAAGAGGAGAGAAGTGTCCTCCCAAACATCCCCTTACCATAATGCATACAAACCTAGGCGTCATTTCCCGGTTTCTGTGTGTGGATGCAATAGATGCTCTGTGCCATTGAAAACATATTTCCAGCGCAATGCAAATATAGGGATGGATGAAGCAAATAATGCCAGCCTGTGTGAGCAACAGCATCTGTTTTTTAGCAGCGTGTGTGTGTTTAAAAAGTGTGTGTGTGTGTGTGTGTACGTACGCCTGTGCCTGCGTGAGTTTGTGTGTGTAACAGGTAGGCTCCATCTCTATCCGACGCACAGAGGGTCCTTGCCCTTTGTCGGAGGATGTTGCCATGACGACATTTTTTCACTGTAGAGCACTAGAGCAAGTAGCGCCATGGGCAATCCATCACACAGGTTAGTGTCAGAGAACGGTGGCTTAGTGCTATAGAGATAATAATCATGGACTGCATTGAAATAGCGCTTTCACCATGCATCAAGCACTTCACATTCTGTATGGTTAATGCCATCCTCTACCAATACATAGCATCCACCTAGAGTAGGTGGGGCACGGCAGCCATTTTGTGCAAGAGACTTCACCACACATCAGCTTTTGCACTAAGACAAGTGTTGTATGTGTGTGTGTGCACACTTGTGTGTGTGTGTTGTGCTCCTGTCTGACAGGTTGATGTCTCATACTGTAAGCGCTGAGGGGGATGTGAGCGAGGGGCTTATTAAAGATGGAGGATGCTAAAGTAGGGCAGCGGTTCACACTGCCAGAGGGGGTGATCTCTCCTCTCCTTCACCCATCATCCTTCTCTCCTCACAGACATTCTCCACTCATTGTTTTAATTACTCCAATGTGGGTATCAGATCATATTAACTACAGAGGTATTGCCCAACAATTCATAGTTATTACTCAATATTTACTGTATTTTTGGAGGGAAATGGTCAAACAATCATTTTATTTTTTTTTTAAACATGGCCGTCTTTGTACTGCAGTCGACCATCTCTCCCTTCTCCCCTATGAAGTAACCTTCGACCTGTAAATTACACTGAAGAAGGCCAGTGTGAACTACCTGAAATGGCATTTAGATATCATTCAGTTGTACAGATGCAATGTAAACACTGGCAATGGATGACTCATGCATAAAGTAGCATTACACACACACACACACACACACAATCAGCTTCATTACCATGCTTTTAGTTGTACACAGGACTACCAAATGTTCCTTTCAATTGCTCCGATTCTGTTCTTCCCCTCGACTGATTGAGTGAAAGCCATTGCTGAGCAGTACTTAGCTAATTATCCCAGTCATAGACTGTAAAAGTGCTGTAGACAAGAGGTTTCAGTGCTTCCTAATGGGCAAAGCAACTCTGGCAGCCCCCGCATGGATTCCTGCAGTTCTGTCATCTTTCTGCTGGGTATTTGGTGAGAACACATTAGCTGTGAACACATGAGGGGACAATGACAATAGAGCTCTCTCTTTCTCTCTCTCACACTCTCTCTCTCTCTCTCTCTATCCTCACACACACACACGCACACATTCACACACACACACACTAACACACTTGAGCTATTATTACCTGGGTTCCCACGCCTCATTGCCTCCTGGGCGATGGATACATAAACATTCCGTTTCGCTCCATCTCTCT